GCAGCCAGCCCTTCAAAAAACGAACACAAAAAACTTGATGCTTGTACACTACCGTCTGAAATTGTGCGAACGCTAACATCTCGAGCTATTAAAAAACACACCCGCACAGAAAGAGTGATAACTCCATTAAAAATGAAGCTAGGTGCTTTTTTTAAATTGCATTGGAAAGCTTATTAAATTTCCAATAAAATGACACTATTTTAAGTTGTATTGGACAAATAGGAAGCGAAAATTGAAAGTTAAAATGTTTTGCGTGAAATTAAAAATTTTTGTGGGTGAAATTGAAAGTGAAAATGTTTTGGGTGAAATTTAAAGTGAGAATTTTATTGGGTGAAATTGAAAGTGAAAATGTGTTGCGTCAAATTGAAAGTGAAAATGTTTTGGGTGAAATTGAATGTGAAAATGTTTTTGGTGATATTGAAAGTGAAAATGTTTTGCGTGAAATTGAAAGTGAAAATGTTTTGGGTGAAATTGAAAGTGAAAATGTTTTGGGTGAAATTGAATGTGAAAATGTTTTGGGTGATATTGAAAGTGCCTAAGACGTTTTAGGCCAATAGACGAAATCAGAACTTTAACTTATTCAAATACGTGAACAAATAATTTATGTTCTTATACATATTTTATTTTATTTTACATATTTCAATTTTACAAAATTTATTTATTGAAACAAGGCAGACTCTGATGACATCAAGAATTATAAGAAAGGCCGGATTTAAAGCAAATGCATTTTTCGTCTTACATTGCACTTTCGATGCTTTGCAATTGCATTTCCTAAATCCTTAACCACCAGTAATAGATTGTTTAACTGCTGCTTCTCTTAAACTCATTATTGTGGAGTTACAAACGTCAGTAATTGTAATTGATTTAGTTTCTGATTATTGTAGCTCCGTTCGGGAAAACCAACCCTTAATTATACCGTCTTTGGTGCCTATTTGATAAACGCCGTTTTGAAAACTAACAATTATTCCCAAAATATTGTTAAAATCAAATGGCCCTCTATCTACTGCTGGAACTGATAAGGTTATGCAGTCACCGTCGTTCAGAACTGGAAACTGGTCTTCCGCAAACGTTTTCATTTTTTCCGCTGCAATAGCTTGTCTTACAAAACAGTCATCTTGAACTTGGACTATATTTTTGCCTCTAATGCATAAGGAACAAATGAGTTCGTCTTCAATGTTTAAGTCTAATTCTGTACAATTTATGTGTACTCGCAAGCTACACTTTATACATTCAGTTGATTCCTCAGTTTTTAAAAAATTACTGCATATTCCGCAAGTCAAATGATTCGCAATGACTTCGTTTGTAACAGAGGGATCAATATCCATGGGATCTTCTTCTATTCTGTAAATTTTAAAATTAAAATAAAATGTAATAAAAAATTTTAAATGTAAAATAAAATTAAAATAAATAAAATTAGAAAAAAAATTTTAAATTAACAAAAGTCAAAATTTAACCAAAACTATTACCTTTCAAAATTAGTATGGTTGGTAAATTGTTGTTCAAAACCTTGTGCCAGATCTTCTTCCGTAGTGAGGGTATTTAAAGCATTATCCGGTAAAGATGTACTTTTTTAACCAGCTCGAATTCGTCCTAGTACTGCTTCGTAAGGAGTACTCCTTATCGAGTTTATCACTCGATGTTTAGAAGTGTTCTTTTGCCACTGGAATTAATTAAAAATCAATTTCTGCACGACTTTCTGCGTTAGAGTTCAATTTAGTTACTTCTATTATACAATTTTTTTGCAATTAAAATAAAAATTATAATTGTAATTGGAAACTTACAATAATTTATAGAAATTTTGAGGTAATTTACAATTTTATACAAAAGAAAATTTAAAAAACTAATTTTTAAAATGTATGGAAATTTATAAGGTAATTTATGAAAATTTAAATATTAATGTTATTTGTTGAATAAATAATATTTACTTGTACTTCGTAGATTCCACGACTCAAATTTACTGACTTCTTATCCACAATTCATGCTCGGATCATATCTTCCACATCTGCATTTGACCGTTCTACACTGTCTTAACTTTGTGGATGTCGTGGGCGTCCATGAACAATTTTACAAAACGGCCAAATGATTGATAATTCATTTACCACAGAAGCAACAAATTCGCGCCCGTTGTCACTGTGAAGAATGCGTGAAGCTCCCCAAGTAAAAAATATTTTTGATAATTCTTCAGCGACATTTACTGCGTGTTTTGATTTCAGTGGTCTTACATGAATAAATTTTGTAGCGTGGTCTTGATAGTTCATAATCCATTTGAATTCACCGTCACTACAAGACTGAAAATCTATCAAATCTGCTTGTCCTCTCATGTTAAAGCCGTTTGTTGTAATGGGTTTTACAACCACACCTTTTTTTGGAAGGGCTTTTTTGCGGTTGCAAGTTTGACAACACTGGACAAATATTTCACAAGCTTGCTTTGAAATTTTCCATTTATTTTTCATATAATACCGCATCTTATCTCTTCCCCCGTGACCAGTTTGAACATGAGCTTCTAACAACTTTTCATAGTAATCCTCTGCCACAATTATAAATAGTAAAAAATAAATAAAAAAAAAATAAATAAATAAATAAAAAAAATAAAAAAAAAAAAAATTTATCATCAAATTCAACACGAATTACACTGCACTCGTTCATTTTCGATAGAATTAAATAATTTTGTCAAACGAAAATTTAGAATATTTTCCCGTCAAATTAAATTAATAATGCGTCAATTCTCAGCGATCGTGCAATGAAAACTAACGATACTCATTATCAAATCTAATATTCGATTAAGACAATTTACTTTAGTAAACAATATCGACGCATAGAGAGAGAACAAATAATTTTGTAAAGAGAAAAAAATAACATTATAAAATAAAATATTAGAAATCAAAATTTTCGTGAGTTTGCAATATACAATATAATTATTCTATTCTACTGAGAGAAAACAAATAGTTTTGGAAAGAGAAAAAAAAATAACATTATAAAATATAAGAATGAAAATTTTCGTGAGTTTGAAATAAACAATATAATTATTCTATTCCACTGAATAACTTAAAACTTTATAAAATTTAAACAAATTTTATTAAATTAAATATAAATGAAATTTATTAATATTAAAAATGTAATATTAAAATATGTATAAGAACATAAATTATTTGTTCACGTATTTGAATAAGTTGAAGTTATGATTTCGTCCATTGGCCTAAAACGTTTTAGTCGGTTAGCTAACTGCCAAGCCAGTGGGCTAACTGGTGGATTTACTCAGGCCAATAGAGAAATATAAGCAATTATGACGTTCATTTGTCAATTGGGTTTTTTGACTCTTGTGACTAAACGAATCAACCGATTTCATTTTTCGATGGCTTGTTTGAAAGATCATTTAATTGCGCAACATTTTCTTAGAGAAACCTATACTTTATCTTTTATTGTTTAGTTGCTGTGTTAACTTTAAAAAATTTTGCAAACGGTCCGGTTTGCCCCACCCCCTAGGGTAAACCAGACCCCCCCACGGGCAAACCGGACCGTTTGATTTTTTATTTATAATATTGCATTTACATAATCTACAATAATAAAAAACATAAAGAATCATGTAAACAATGGTTGTAGTAATGAAAATAATAATACGGGATTGAATTTTAATTATATAAATATTTTTTTTAATATAAAAATAAAAATGTTTGTCATTATCAGAGAAACAATATTAAAGGGTCCAATTCTCATTGGAAGACAATTATTTTTCATTGTAAGTAAATATTTTAATAAAAGAAACATTTTATTTAAAAATAATTTTTATGAAACTTTAATTCAATGGAAATATCCTATGGCCGGTTTGCTCCACAGGCCCAATTTGAAAATAAATGTTTGTCAAAAAGAAACGCTTTGCAAATTCATCAAAGTTTTTGGTGGTAAATATTCCTGAGCTGTGTACCTTCAAAACCTAAGACCTAATATTTGGAAACATTACACGATTTCCTCAGAATTTCCTTAAGAAAAAATTCGTAAAAGTGTAGAAAAAACTAAAAAAAAACTTTTGCTCCCTTCATCGCACAAACGCAAGCTAAAACTGTCAGATTGAGAAAATAAGGTATACTAAACACGGTTGTTTTAAATTTGTAAACAACACTTTTTCCAATTTCGCCATTTCGGAAATATTGAGAGGGGTCCGGTTTACCCACCGGTCCGGTTCGCCCCACTCTCCCCTATATTATCATATAATTATTTATTATTATTAATTTATTAATTAGAAAATTAAAACAATTTCTGCAAGCAAAAATTAAGTTTATTTAAACAATTTGTTTATAATGTGGAACTTGAAGTAAATCCCTTATAACGGTCCCAGTCAGTGTAATTAGGGTTAAACTTATATTTCTCATAATAAGTTTAATTATCCTTTTTTATCCGTGTAGGATATCAGTTTGCGAATGTTATGGTCGTCAGTTCAATTCCCGGCGTTTGGGAATTTTTTCTGTTAGGTACATTTATATTAAATATATAAGGTATATATAAACAAAAGTAGGTAGGGGAAAAGATTAAAAAATGAAATTAAACAATTATAAAACCTAAATAAATAAATTCATTTTTACTACTTTAAATAATTAATTTAATTGTTTTTTATAGTTGTTTCAATTACGTTTTTTTATTGGCGCCTCCTGGAACTATGATAATTATTTACTCATCCTCCTAATCAGTTATGCCTCCTGAAACTACAAGAAATAGTTAAAAAGTAGTAAAAACCAGGTTTTTTGTATGTAGGCGGTCATTTGTAATTAGAAGGGCTTTAATAGGGGTACTTGTTTTGGGCCACATTAATTTTCCACTGACGGACCCCATAACATTTTGTGTAACGAAACTAGTGGAGTCACTATCAATTTGCCCTATTTAGCCCCTAATATCATAAGGGAAAACATTTACGGCCCCTAACAGTGCCACACTGCAATTTCTACACGAGTGACAAGTTTTCACGTATAGAAAACAACGGTTCTTGTAAAACGTAGAAAGGTAAGTGTGTTACAAACGAATCAAATACTTCTATGTAAATGTAATAGTTTGAATGACTAAAGCTCAGTTGTTCCGAGTGCTTTGAAGAGTGAAGATGGTTACGAATTTTTTAATAACAAGGTAATTTGTAAATCGCATTTTTATATTTTATTTTTTCAGTTATATTATAATAATAAAATCATAAAATTTTCAAATGATTTTAGAATTTTTGGAAGAAATTCTAAAAGTAATTTTCAATTACGTTATTTTCACTAAACAAATGGTATTTTAATTTTAAAATTATAATATGTTTTTTTATTATGTATGTTTATTTATTTTAATTTATTATATCGAGTTATATAATTGTTTACTTCCGGTGCTAAGAAAAATTTAATTGATTAAAATAAATTTAATTGATTAAAATAATGAACTATTTGAATATTATTAAATAAAAATTTATTTTTTGAAATAATTTTTAAGTTAATTAGATAAAAATTATTGGTTTAATTATAGTTTATTGCATTGAAACAGAATAATATAAAAGAATGAAGTAAATGTTTCATACTATTCGATTATAACTAAATGCATATTTTCCTCATATTATATGGTATCAAAGTAATAGCCTTAACTTTAGAGGATTTTCCTCTCGCATATTTTTTGCCAGTTATGGTTATGAACTGATAAAGGAAAGCTATTTTGATGAACTAAATTTAATGTTTTTAATTAAATAAATATAATTATTTGTTAACCACCAATGAATAAAAATATTCTACATTCAAGTTGAATCCTATTGTTTTGAGAGGATATTGTAAGAAAATTTTTTCTCTAATTATGAGATTACTTTTTTTAGGGTATGTGTTATAAATTTCAAATAGGTATTCAAAAAATAATTTAATGAACTTAATAGAACGAGAAATTTTAAATATTAATTAAATTAAATATTAATAAAGAAATAATAAAATGATTCTTTTTTAAAAACCGCTGCCAAGTTGTACATTTTTATAATTTTGTGTTCATTTCATGAACACTTTGCTTCCTCATAGAAATAAGAATAATTAAAATATAAGAATTACTTTTTATAAAAGGGTTCAAAATCATTAAATCTTGGTCCAAAAAATGTGTTTTTATATATTCTATAAGATGGTAACAATAGTTGAATAATTACATATAAGTTAATAAACAAGAATGTTGAAAAAAGTCTTATTTTCCAAAATTTTTGATTTTTAAAAGTTTAATATCTCCGGTTAATATGGACGAAAAATGTTTAATTAGGGCTCAAAAGATGCGTGTGAAAAAACTCTACATAACTAAAGAAAAAGATTTATAAGTGTCCTAACATTTTTTTAAGTTATGTCCAAAAAACGTTTTTTTACAAAATGAAAAATACAAAAAAAAAATAGTTGAACTTCATCAATCGGGCTGAAAATACTCTCATTTTATGTCCCCCGGGGAGACCTACAATTTAAAAAAAAATTGAGGCCTTTAGCTCTTTCTCGTTCTGAGATATTGAGGCAAATGTAATGTTAGTACACACACACACACACACACACATCGGGACAAATTTTTAAAATCCGTTTTTTGAACTTCAAAGATCAAAATACGTCGAAATTTTTTTTATTTGTTTAGAACATTTATACGGGGAGTTTCTGTGCATATATAAAGTACTAAAGTATTAGGCATAATAAAAAAAAATTTATAAATATGTCAAAAAATGACAATCCAAAATTTTGCTAATACAAAGCTTCCTTTATGAGGAAGCAATTTTTATTTATTAAGTAACGTTCAAATATAAATAAATGCTATAAATTATAAAATATATATGTAATATTTATTTTTGAAAAAAATTAAAGATAATGAATAAATGATTGTGATTGAATTATTATTATTTTAAAACAAAACTTTAATTTTGAGTAATAACAAAAACTTGAATCTGGAAATTTAGAAAATTATCGAGAAGCAGTTTCTAACTGTAAAGACGAGGACATAACTGTGTGAGCGATCCAGATAACAGCAGGACATCGAATCCTGTGAGGATTCGTTCCGCTATCGTGATATCCAGCCAGTCTACAATCATGTCTTTCACATTGCATAAAATGTGAGTAACCTCTTGATGACTGTTTTATGTGACCGAACATTAAACTATTTACAAGTGTTTTCTAGATGCAATAATTTTTTCTTTTTACACTGAAAAAAAAATTATTTTTTCAAATAACCGATTACTTGTCTATTATCAAATAAATATTTACTTGAATAAAATGATTTCTAATTGAATCAAATAAATGGTATTTTCTTCAAATACGAAACTAATTAATACAAATAAAATTTATTAGATTCAAATAAGGGGTCGTCCATAAACTACGTTACCAACTTTTGATACTTTTTGGACCCCCTGCCCCTCTTGTTACCATTGCGTAAAATGCATTTTTATATATTTTTGAACCCCGTCCCCATAAATTGGTAACGTAGTTTATGGATGATCCCTAAAAATTATTTTATTCAAGTAAGTATTTATTTGATAATAGTCAAATAATCGGTCATTTGAATCAAATAAATTGTTTTTTCAGTGTAGATTGTATAAAAAATACTTCTAACTCTCTAGGTCTGAATTGTAGTAAAGAGCTACCCCCACTAACTCAATTTGCTAATCATTTTCACTAATTTTTAATAAACTTTTACTATTTCATTTAGTAATATTGAGTTTTTTATTAAAATTTTTCAAAATTAGTAAACAAATTTTTTAAGAAGTTCTATTTTTTAATAAGCTTTTGTTGTCAGGTGATTCAACAATAGATTCAAAAAATTTTAATTGAGTGTCCGGGTCAAATAATTGCAGTTTAGAACTAATGCATTTATGCGTATGTATGTCCGCATGAAGAGAGTCTACTTTGTCGACTTTATTTTACGATATAAGCGTAAATTTTTAAAAGTTTTACATATTTTTGACATTTGTTTTATTGTTGAAAAACAAACTACAAATTGCTTTACGCCAAATAGTGCATTAATAAAATATATAAAAATTGTACTTTTCGCGAAAAAACTACATAATTAAACAAGAATTCTTAAAGAATTGATGAAACTTGGGTGTATACAATTATGAATAAGTTAAAACTATGCTAATAAAAATGAAATTGAAAGAAAAAAATTAAAAATAACATAATATAACATTAAAAAAATATTAAGTAGTAGAAGTAAAAAAACTATTACCAAACTCTTTTATAATATCAAATGAATGAAATATGAATATTGAATGCATATATGAAGGAAGTATATTAAGAAATAAAATTTTAGAGTTACTTTATTGGAGTTAATTTTCGTGATGCATGTAAATGACCAAACAATTGCGGAAAGACCGGATTCAGGGTAGGGCGGAACTGAATATAATAGTACGGAAGCGACTGGGAAATTATATTTGTTATGGAGAATTGGAGTGTTGACCGATGGTCGGATATACGTGTGGCCAGCTGTCCGGAGCCGATCAGATCTAATACCGGAAGGAATATACCAGAATAATTATTATTTTTCGAAATTCTCTATACTCTATATTCTCTATTGTAGTTTTCGGTGAAAGGAGGATGTTAAAAAAGTAAAAATTTTGAAACACTGGAACAACTTTTCTTCCCAGGTAGAAATTTGTCAAGTATTACTTGTTTTCTTCCAGCAGCTGTAGAGTCGAGAGCGAGTTTTACTTGCCAAGACAATCTGGTCAGTCCTGAATAAGTGACTGGACAGTTTCACTGGATAAAAACAATTCCCCTTTGTAAACAGTACTTTTGTCAAGTCACTGGCCAGAAAATCTGATCATAATCGTAACAAGAATTTCTTTCCAGACACTGGCAAGTCACTGATTTAAAGAATTATTTAAGATTCCACCTAGAAAAACTGGTCCACCACTGATCAGAAAAACTTGCCGGAATCCTATTAAAAGAATTATCCAAGATTTTTCTTAATCTCTAGCCAGAAAATCTTGACACTATCAAAAAAAGAAACTGCTGACACAGAAACTGACCAGTTACTAAGGAAAAAAACAAAGCACCAGTCCCATAAAAATACACTCTTAGTCAATTATTTATAATAAGATATTAAAAATAATTTTTATGTTCCATACGGTCAAAAACAGAAAAGTCTAACGTAACTTTATTTAAAAGTTATGATCGTTTCACTGTCACATTACCAAAGTTTACATTTTTCTAAATTTCAACAAGATAAGCCGTCAAGTCTCTGACAAGTTACTAAACAGTTTATCTGGTCATGATTATATATATATATTTCTGGTCACCGTGGCTGCGTGGTAACGCACATGCGTTGTGTCTCCAGGGTCTAGAGTTCAATCCCCCATGCGTGCGAATTTTTCATTCTTAGATATTAATATTAATAAGTGTTATTGGTAAACTAAATTGTTCATTAGTCTTAAATATTTGAATAAACACAAAAATATAAATAAATATGTAATTATAAACAAAATAAAAAGAGCCAGGAAAAATTATATTTTATTCTAGATTTTGAGCAGAAAACCAAATCAAAACCAAGTCATGAATTATTAACTAACTTACTAACTAAATTAGTTACTAACTAATTAACTTTATAACAAACTAACTAAATTACTAATTAAGGAATACATTCAATGTATTTTCAAAGTACATATTCATTTTTGGATTTACTTTACAGATGCGTCTTGTTTATCGCGCTATTTGACGAAAAACATCGTATGCGACTCGGTCGGAAATGGCAATTCTGACTTCGTACGATTGCCATCCTTACTTCGCTCTTGCGGCAAATTCAGAAATAGTTCAGAATTCGGGTTAAATTCCTACAGAAATTCGTGTGGCGCTTTGATAGTAATTCGTAATATATTAATAGAAAAAACGGAATACAAAATTCATAAAAATATATTCCTCCTACGGTTTAATTAAATTGCAGAAATCTGTACCAAAATGGTTCAATTTATCCTGCATAAAAAATTTTATATCTCAACATACTTTAATAGTTTTTGGGGTCGCTGATTACGAATCCAGTGTCTATTTTTGAAAATTCAAAATAACGGATCCAATATGACGGACCTTTTTCAAAGAATTATTATTTTTAATCAAATTTTCTTTAATATCCGCCATATTGGATCCGCCATTTTAAATTTTGAAAATCTGATGCCAGGTTCGTAATAAGCGACCCCAAAAACCCCCCGAGTAATGATTTTCATAAGCTGATTTCATAAACTTTTTGATTAAATGCACATTATCTACTTATTAAAAAACTTGCTTGTTTAACTAACATTTAAAGTTACGTAACTTTGATAAAATATTTTTTTATTATTGCTAACAAATATTTTTGAAAAGCTTATAGCATTTAGCTTCAATTTCCATTTTGGATTATGTAATTCCAATGTATTGTTGACGAGTTATAAAATATTTAGTTACCCCGAGTATACTCAGGGTTAACCGTTTTGGTACAGTCAATTTACCCCAAGTTAACTCGGAACAAACCATAGGAAGGTTAAGGTAAAATTTTGTAAAATTCCGGTTCAATTTTCTGTACGAATTCCTGACGTTTTTTAAAAGAAATTACGCACGTAATTTTTACTAAAACTTTTTGCTTTTAAATTCGACCACTTTTCCGTACTGATTTTGTACGAAATTCGTATGTATTACTAACAAATTTTTTTTATTAAGTTTTTCAGAAATTCCGCTAGAAATTCGATAAGAATTCCGCACGTAAAGTTTGCTGTAATTTTTTTTTAAATTTTTGACCATTTTTCTGAACGAAGTTTATACAAAAATTACGTGCGTAATGGAAATTTGTTTAAAAAAACGTCCGGAATCCATAAAGAAAATTGAACCCAAATTTTACAAAATTTTACCGTAGACATTAACGGGTCAATACGATTTCCCACGTTGAACGATAACTGAACGAATTTTAAACGAATTTCTAGCGTTTTTCGGACAAATCATTTTCACCTGGGGATTGTTGAGACTGGTGCGCACTGAGATCTTACGCATCAAAGTTCTTTGACATTCCCGACTTTCTCAGACACAGTGTCAGCTAGTGTCATGAACTTTTCTGGAAGTACATAAAAATCACTTTGAAAAAGTAATGAAACAAAGATTACTAAATCAGTTTTTGCTCTATCTTATATATTTCCCGACTTTCTTCCAAACATTAATTAATTACTAATGAATGTTCTTGATTTTAAAATAAAATATTTTTTTTAAATGCGTGCCAGGATACTGAGAATTTGTCAATTACTCAATTAAAAATTAAGTAAACCGCGTTGCTTTGAATAATCACTTACACTGTAAAGAATGGTGAATTAATCGTAATGAAAATTCTTGAAAATTTTAACATTTTTTGTGTTAGAAGACTGATGACAAAAAATTCGAGAAAGAAAATTCAAAATAATATTAATAAATCATAATTTATATTTTTGTATAAAGTAGAACTATTTAAAATTGAAATCCAAGAGTAAATTCGCATTTAAACGCTTAAAAACAATATTTATTTAGTCTACTAAAAATTTTCATTGTCACAATGGGATATTCCAGGAAACTGAGAATTCAGCATTTAAATTGTTATTTTTTGCCAAAAATATTTATTAAAATCGGGTACGATAAAAAATAAATACAATAAAAACCATTAAGCTTCACAAGTTTCATTGAAAATTTCTCATTATTTATAAATTATTGTTATAATTCACGTTAATAAGCCATGTCTGAAATTGTTAATTAAAAAGTATTTTTCATTGTTCATTATAGATTGCACATGATTGTGTTATCAAGGTTAACGATGACCTTGACGTTGACGATTGAAGCAAGAGCATCCGGTGTTGGCAAAGCATGGGATGTTTCACCATCACTACAACCTAATTCTCATCGTCTGTCCTGGCCTCGTAAGGAGGCCTCTTCCTTGGAAATACGCACTATCAGTGGAGTGGGGCGACTACCTCAACATTACAAGGACACTTTTCAATCGGAAATAGAAAACACTGATTTGATGAACAGACTGCGAAATTCACGAGTGGAAGCAGATGAAGTTGATGAAATCGACTTTGAAAGACAAGAGCGGAAGTTAAATTCTTATCTTCGAAGGATAGACACGACAAAGCTCAAAGAATTACTTTCTGATGAGGATAAACTTGAATACAGCATATTCACAGAAGCAGGTACCTTTTTTCCTTAAAGGAAGAAAAATTTCCAATTGTGATTTTTTAACTGATTGCGATTTTTCTGACCTCAGAAACCTACAAGTCGTGTTTCTAAAAATAGTATTGTCCATATGTATTAATATATGGTAAGAATTATAGCAAAATTCTTTTTACCAATATTTAGGTATGTTTGGGAGACTACTTATAGCTATAGTTTTATATTACAAAAATTTCTGTATTTTTGATTAAAAAAGTGTGTTTGCTTATAACTTTAAAAAGAATTTTTTTAAATTATATCCATACATTTATAAAATTCACTTATAAACGTCACTTACTGCATACTACTATAAGTCTCACTTGCGGTACAGGCAAATGAATACTCATACCGCCGTACAAAATAAAAAATTTTATAACTGTCATTTGTTTTTAGGCTGATGTTAGCTTGTTATATTAAGGGAAAAACAACCTTAAACCAAATGTCTTTTAAAGACTTTTTTACTTAGCACGGCAGCACAAGTGTCATCCATGTGACACTATATGGGCGCATATTATAAGCACAAAAAAATTCTATGGAATAAAAATTTGAAAATATAAACATTCTGATAAGGAGAAATTTGATCAAATAAAAATTTGATTATATAGAAATTTTGTAATGTAGAAAATTAATTAAATGGAAATTTAATAAAATAATAATTTGATGAAATAAAAATTCGACTAAAAAAGATTTTTTCAAATATTCTTCTGTTTTACTTTAAATTTTTCTAAACAAATATTCTACTGAATCGATATTCTAACAGATATACTTTTTCTCAAATAGATTTCTGAACAATAAAAAATTTCGTCAAAAGAAATTTCGGTTAAAATAACAAATTCACGTATGAAATATTTGTCACATAAAATTGATCTTAAACAACTATTCTTTTGAACGACATTTCGTTTAAATAATAGTACTCTTTTAAGTAATTTTAATTTAATAAAAAAATTATATTCTTAAAAATTCTCTCAATTATAATTTTTTTCACTTAAAAATTAATTTTACTGAATGTTTAAATTATAATAATTTGTTTATAAGAAATTTTTCGTACTTACGCATTCTAAGATATACTAATTTGCAGAAATAAAAAGTCTGTTAAAGTCCATTCTACCAGTTGAAATTCTGTCTATCAAAAATTTTATACAATTATCTGTAGGGGATCGTCATGTGCGCCGTAAATGTAATTATGCGTGTTTTTTCACGTGTAAAAACACAATCATGTAGAAATGAACAGTGCCGAATTTTTTTCTAACTTACCTTTTTACTAGAAGATATTCAATAAAGGAAAACCCTATAATTCTAACTATAAAAATATTAATTGAAACTTGTCTTTTGTAAAATCTACTTCAGGTGATAAAAGAAGAAGTTACCAAAAAATACAGAATTACAGATTTTTTAATTTTCAATATTGTAAATATAGGTACTTACTCGTTGAATTGTTATTTCACTGTTATATTAATATTTCAGAATCCCGAGTTCGTCGTGACCTAGAGCCAAAAATGGAACAAATATCAGCATCTAAAAGTGTTCGAGAAGCTCGACTAAACTCGCCAGATTCTTGGTCAAAACAACCAATTTCTGTTGAATTTCGTCATCGAACTCCCCTTCATCAAGTATTGCCGGACAATCAGGACATTGCGGTTTCATCTAGAAGAATTCACTTACCTCAAACTGATTTCATTACCAGCAATCGAAGATATTTTGCCGAAAGCAGAGAATCCCGAGACATGCCAGTTGCTAGAACTTATGATGACTATGACGTTCCAATTTATCCAAGTCATGATAGGACCTACGATACGAATTCTCAAGGTTATTATTATCCAAATCGTTATAGAACCGAGAGAGATTATCGATACCGAGGAGAATCAATGCCTCCCCCTTATTACGAACAGTACCCTGTGAATAATTTTGAATCCTATGAGAGAAACAGGATCCCGGCTAAACCAAAAAGAATCATCTACTACGCAACATTACCTGATATTGTTAGAAAACCAGAAATGGGTAATTATCCAAGACCATACGACGGTCCACTAAGAGTGCCACCAGGTGTATTAGCTTCTCGAAATTCATTAGGTGGTCAAAAGTATATTCGAGAACCCAGCATGCGTCCTTTCTTTAGATATCCCTATGATAATTATGATTATGATGGATACAAGCGGCCATCATTTTATGATCGAATCAGTCCTTATCACATGGAAAGTGGACATCGAACTCCTTCAGATCGGGATTTGGTACCAACTCATAAAGAAAATTTAAGGAGAGACGATGATATGATTAATAGTAGTCAAGAGAGAAAGACAAGAGATAATCAGGATATTCCATGGCCAATGCAGATTGGAACAGAAGTGAATGTTAAGGAAAATGGAAGAATTCCCGGACGAAAGGTTTTTGGACAATTGCAAAGTTTTGATAGATACGAAAGTGCTCCTTTGAAACAAGCTCCAACTGAACCTGACAAAACTATAAATCATGGTTCTTAGAATAACTTTAAAAATTAATTATTTAGCAAATGGGAGGGGTTATTTCTACAATTCTTCAAACATTAAAATAAGTTTTACAACTTTTCATACAGTACGTATTATTCTTGTTTTAAAAATTATGCAAATTTAAAATGTTTAGGAAATTGAAAAGTAATGAATTAATTTATTTTTATTCTCTTTCGATTATTTTAATTGATATTTAACTTATTTTTCATGCACTTTTTCAATTACCAACTAATTTCAACAAAAGAATAAATAGTACTGTTCAGATATATACTGACAATAATAATTGTACTTCAATTAATTAGGGAATTGTGGACCACCTCCATTATTTATTAATATAAGTTTCATCATCCAATTTTTAAAATTTTTTTTGTTCGTCCAAAGTAAATTTTCCATCAGCATTTATTGTTTTTACAAGGATTTTCAAGATTTAATCAAGGAAAATATTTTTTTAATTATTGCGTGGCATTGGTACTTTGACTCCAAAAAAAATTTTTGCATCAAATTTGAATTACTAAATAATACAAAGCTTTTTGTAAAATGAAAAATTTGGAAAATTGTGAGCCACGTTTTTTGAGGAAGTAAAAGTATACTCTTTGGTAAAACTGAAATTTCTTTTAGGTACATAAGTGATAATTTTGGGAAACTGACTATGATATATATATGTTACTTTATACCTTCTGCTGACAGGAAAAATTTGAAAAAACAAATTTTTGTGTAAGATATATATTGAGCTAAGATAAAGTGTGTCCCACAATACTCCAATCTGCCCTATATTATTTAAATTTGTATGAAAAATTATTTCGCTTGTAATAACATTACAATTCTTATTCTACATTATAAAATAAATGTGTATTATGGAAGTCATGTATATTTTATGGATTTTAAAGATTATTCATGCAAATCTTTTCATCAATTTACTGTGAGCATTTATTTATTAAATATTTTCAGAAATATTGTGAAAACTTAATAAATAATATTATTTTCTTAATATAATCACTTTAGAATGAATATATAATTATATTTTTTATATGAAGTCAAAATTCTGACATTTTAAAGTTTAAAAACAATGAGGTCCCTGAAGTTGACATCAAAGTTGAGCCAAAAAAAATATTTTTTTCACAAAACCGAAGAAAATGACTCAATCTTTTCCAAGGTTTAACCACTTGAGCGGCAGTGCGTCAGAATTGGCGTCAGCGTGCAAGTGACAGAAGCGGCAAAAATGCGTAAAAGGCGTCAAAATTTGACTACTATTTTCTCATTCTGTAAGGAGATTTATAATATCACAACAAAGTATTTTTCTTTTTTAAAGTAAATGAGCAGATCTTTAAACAAAAAAATGCTTTTTTAAATATTTCGATTTCGTGAAGAAAAATTGGACTTTTTGTGGTAGAAATTGAAACGCCACTAATATCAAACTATTAAATATGTAACGAAGCATTTCGTTACATAAATCTTGTGTGGTTCCTATCATTGGGATTATCTAAATTTCATTTGGTCAAGGGATATTTTCTCTGTGGAAATCTCTGTGAAAATGAATTGCGCATGCGAGGTTGCGAAAAGTCCCGAATCTCTGCGGTCCCTCCCGAGTTTTCTTTACAGGTTGTCGCTGTCCATTCGAGTGAGTGAGAGGGTCATATGTGGGCCCTTATCAAAATTAGAAAAGGACGGAAAAGAAGGAAGAAGCCGGTCAACGTGAAATTCATTCTTCAGTAGCTCGTGGGCCATCTAATTATTAGGTTGAGTTTTACTCGGGGTTTCCACTTTTGGGAACCTCAGGGTTTTTAGAGTCGTTTTGTATTCAAGTTTTGGGTTTCAATAAATTGTCAATTGTTTAAGTGAATCTTTTGTGTTTTATGAGTTTATTTATTTATTGTTTGTGTCGTCGGATTTGTGTTTGTAAGAGTCGCCGTTGGTAAATCGTTGTGTCCAAGTTTCATCGTGTCTCGTTTCGCCGTCGTTTGTATCCGTCGGTTTATAAGTCCGAAGCGGAATCTCCTCTCAGGTAATTTAAGGTTTTTGTGTATCATTAAACGGTCGATACAAGTTAGTTGTTACTAATAAAAGATCTGTTATAATTTTGGCGCCCAACGTGGGGCAGGCTAAGCGTTGGACTTTGGGACAGAGGCGATGAGGATTTTCTTTGGGCACATCACCATGTGATTTTGAATTTGTGAAATTGGTGATAGTTTGGCCAAAATAATTGGCTGTGGTTTCTTGGTTGGGATCGGACGCAGGAATTTTGGGCTCATATGAAAAATATTGAGGTTTGGCTGTGTGTAATTTTTTCAGTGTTAAATTCAAAATGAAAATTTTTGGGTTAAACATGTGTTTGTTCACGTAATACCGGCATTTTTGAATTGGCGCGAAAGTGAAGGCGTGCGGAGAAATGTCGCGTCTATAATAATTTCAATTTTCGAATTGAATTTTGGGTTTATTTGTTGTGAACATTCTGGAAGAAATTTACAGCCAGTATTATTTTTCTTGGGAAATTCGTGTTTGACGGGTAAACGGAAAAATCGAAATTTTGAATATTATATCGGCTTTATTACAATTTTTTGGGAATTGCGTTTTGGGCAATGAGTGTACTCATCACAGGACATGGTCAGTGACGCGGGGAAGTATTGATAGGTCAATACTTTTGCGTCTAGTGGAAACTATAATTTTATTTATTGTTTCTGGCCATATTTAATTTTGATTTTGTGGTTTGTTTTTTGTGAGTGATTTGGAATATTTTAGTGTTGTTTGTCCTTTTTGATAACGTCTTTTAAATTTTCTGTTGGAATAATTTTGGAATTTTTATAAAAGGACGCGGTTGTATAGAGAGACGCGATAATTTTTAGAGCGCGGGAAAAGTTAGCCGCCAGAAAATTTTGGATAGCGTCTGTCACGACCATATTGAATTTTACGGTTTACAAAAATTTTTTAGTTTTGGTAAAAGATTTTTTGTGGTAAAATTCATTAATAATTTGTGGATTTTAGTGGAAATTTTAGCGGATAAATTTGTTGGGAATTTACGTTTTTCATTTCTTTGGGTGGAAAACAGTTTCTATTTTTGGTTCGCTAAATGTGACATTTTTCATAATTCTCAGCGGTCAATGAACCTTTTCTCCTTTTTGGGAGAATTGATTGATATTTTTCAAAGAGAAATTTGACGCGGCATTTTAGGCCGAAGGGTCAAATTAAGGTTGAAAAGTATTGGTTAATTTTTAAATCGGTTAAAAATTGACAGCTGGAAAATTTTCTTGAATATTATTTTGTGGAAAATTTATTTATGAAAAATATTTGAGTTTTTATTTGTGAGATTTTGATTTTATTTGAGTGTACAAAATTGTGAAGTTGTTTGTATTTTGTCTATTTTATTTATTTGGACAAAGCGCGTTATCAATATATCCGTAACATAAACATTTTGTTGAATTTTTGGTTTATTTTGGGCTGATTGGTTTTGGGTCTTGCTTTGAAATGTGTGGAGCGAGTGACATTCGAGGTGTATTGTTGTGTGAGACAATGAAGGGACTAACTAAGAAAATCTGAGGGTCATTTGATTGCAAAACAGATCAGGAAGGGGTCACAGAATTTAGTTCTTGTGTCGGTAACATGACAGGGAAGAAAAGTTCCCAAGTTTTGACAGGAAATGATTTGGATTTTATAGGACCTTCACAGCGGTTTCAAAATGACGAATTATTGTCAGTCTTCACTTGCATTAGAGCAGTATCGGCTTGTGAAACTTGTGTGTCTAATTCGGTAATAACCACTTCGGCAAATTCGTGTGGAATGGCCACAACGAACGTAGTGTGGAGTTCGGCATCAGAAGGTGTTATTTCTCCGATGATTTCATCGGGTAGTCGCAGATTTTACCCAAGTTGATGCCAGAACGCATTATCCGGATTTACTTGTTATTTTTGCCCTAAATATAAATAAGAAATTTGATTAATAAATTTTCTAGTAAGTTTGGTTGCCCAACAGTGCGTGAGTCTGTGGTGGAAAGAAAGGCTTTCCTAGTTTAGAGAAATTTCGGGTAAATTATAGGGCCCGGAATTTTCTAAATAAGTGGACGGTTAACCGGCCAATAGTGGGCCAGGTTGGAAACTTTTAACACTAGAGCGGAAATGGTTGAATTAAAATTCAGCTGAATATTTTCGTTGAAGGTTCGAGTTAACGCATGGGTAACGAGGCTGGAACTAGTTTCTGACTAGTGCCATTCTAGGTTATGGTAAATGGGATTTTTGGATGTTAATTGTGGTAATTTGTGTTTCTACGAGTGAGGAGTACTCACTCTTTAAGTAGAAAAAATAGTGTTTGAGTGAGGAGTACTCACTCCCTATTGAGAGAGATTTGGGTTTTGAGTGAGGAGAACTCATTTTTCAATTTGAGAAATGTTTGGGTTTGAGTGAGGAGAACTCACTCTGAATTTGAGAATAAGTTGTGTGGCGAGTGAGGAGAACTCACTCTCTTTAATTTGAGAGGTATTTTGTGTGGCGAGTGAGGAGAACTCATTTTCCTAATTTGAGGAGTTGTTTGTGTTGTGAGTGAGGAGAACTTACTCTTTAATTCGTGAGTTTTTGTGGTTTGACCCTGGTTTTAAAAAATTATTCTTGTAAGTCTGAGAAAATGGTCCGTTCTCTGCGAAGATAATTTGGACTAATGGTGTTGATTTTGGGATCAACATGTATAGTCCTGGAGAGGGGGAAAGTGCATGAGATGCAGTTAGTACCCCATAAGCAGTTGATATTTGGAGGTCAGTTTCTTTTTGGTATTGAAATTTTTGAGGATTTATGGGTCCTTTGAAATTTAAATTTTAATATCATGGGAATCTCACGTACTTTGTGTTTTGGCACATTCATAAGATGTCGAAGGCATTGGGTATTTGTCTCTATTGGTTTACGAATTGGGTTCGGTAAATAATTGTCGTGTGAAAAAACTTTATGGATCCGATCTCAAACGGTTTATGATTTCTCGCGTTAGGCCTTCTTAAATGTCTGGTTTCTTACGTATTTATTGTTTGCTAAATTGGTCTTTGCAACTAAGAATTTGTTGTTGTTGGTTATTTGTGGGTTAGGGAACAAAGTTGGAACATGATTGTGAGTAACCTTTTTGGTTTGGGTCCAGTCATGAACTCCAATGCAAATTTGGTCCTAAGGTTTACAAAAAGGAATCAATGACAAACAGCTGTTGCGACCATTGAGGATTATTAGTTTTCGATTGTTGTTATTGGATCGGCAACAACATCAGGGATGTTGTTGGCCTAGGAGAGGGGATTGTAACGAAGCATTTCGTTACATAAATCTTGTGTGGTTCCTATCATTGGGATTATCTAAATTTCATTCGGTCAAGGGATATTTTCTCTGTGGAAATCTCTGTGAAAATGAATTGCGCATGCGAGGTTGCGAAAAGTCCCGAATCTCTGCGGTCCCTCCCGAGTTTTCTTTACAGGTTGTCGCTGTCCATTCGAGTGAGTGAGAGGGTCATATGTGGGCCCTTATCAAAATTAGAAAAGGACGGAAAAGAAGGAAGAAGCCGGTCAACGTGAAATTCATTCTTCAGTAGCTCGTGGGCCATCTAATTATTAGGTTGAGTTTTACTCGGGGTTTCCACTTTTGGGAACCTCAGGGTTTTTAGAGTCGTTTTGTATTCAAGTTTTGGGTTTCAATAAATTGTCAATTGTTTAAGTGAATCTTTTGTGTTTTATGAGTTTATTTATTTATTGTTTGTGTCGTCGGATTTGTGTTTGTAAGAGTCGCCGTTGGTAAATCGTTGTGTCCAAGTTTCATCGTGTCTCGTTTCGCCGTCGTTTGTATCCGTCGGTTTATAAGTCCGAAGCGGAATCTCCTCTCAGGTAATTTAAGGTTTTTGTGTATCATTA